TATCAATGCATCTTGATTGCATGTTCGATCTATCTCCGACTGTAAAAGTTGGTAGAAATCATCTATTTCTTCTTCTTTGGCTCTAGTTGTTGGTGCATATATCTGAATGATAGTGGTATTTACTGGACTTCCTTGAAACAGATGAGGGGGAGAATAATTTAAAAGCGATATATGATAGGATATTATGGTTATCACAAGAGTCTAGAATTAAGGTTGCATAGTGGAGTGTACTCGGGGCGGTGGGAGGGATGCGGGGCGGATTGTATACCAAAGAAAGAATTTTTCTTTTACTTTTCAAAGAGAGGAGCAAACTGGGGGTAGGGGGAGGGCTGGGTAGGGAGAAAAGTGTAACAATGAATGAATGGAAGGAAATCCAAAATCTCCGTAAATGTTCATTAAAATTAATAAAATAAAATAAAAAAAGTGTATACATATTAAAAAAAAAAAAACAAATACTTTCTCACATCTCAGGATAAAGCCAGGACGTTTTAAGGGGGTGGCTAAAGGGAGTAGGTAAGGGGAAAGGAATGTGTAAATAGGGTTTGGGAAGGAAAGATCCAAGAATCCAGTAAGGTTTGTTCTATGACCTCTCTTTCCATAATGATTTTCAAGCATCCTATGTTTTGGTTTTGGTGTGTTTTTTCTTTTTTGGTTTTTTTTTCTGATCTACCCTTTTTATTTTAGTAAAAGTTTACAAATCACATTGGTTTTTACACCTATCTACCCTTTCCCCCTTTTTTATTGTTTCTTTCATATATATTCTGATTTATACACTCATTAACTTTTTTTTAATAGGTAATACACTTAGGTGGTTTATTCAGGAAGCTAACACCTTCAATTCAGGTTGGAGAATACAAACTTTCTGTCACTCAGCAATAGTAGATGGTCTCCCTGACTCTTAAATGCAAATTTACTAATTTAGAAGAAATTAGGAGAACTCAGATTTTTCCCAGATTAAGTTCCTATGCCCTCTACAAAGTTGGCTCTCAACAGCACGCATTTCTTTTCTTTTTTAAATTTTATTTTGGCATCCTATGTTTATATTCAAGTCAGGTGGTTAAGTAATGTTTTTGTATCAGCATGACTTGATTGTAAATCCTTGGGTTCTAAAATAACCACTTCATATTTAGCAAATCAGGTTAATGAGCCTTCCTTACGTGGCCATCTAATTACTATCATTCTAAACATAGACAACTATTTACTATTGTCCTAAACATATAAACTATCTTTGAGCTACTTCCCACCACCAACCTTATTCCTTGAACAAAAGGATAAAAATTAGCTGAGTTTGGACTCAATATTGTAAGATGAAGATTAGGAAATTTTAAACACTAAAAACTATTATTTTTTGGACTTTAGTTAAAACATTTATTATTTAATAGTTTTGTTAATTTTCTTTCCTAGGAAACACATTTAACAAAATGGCAGAGTGGGTGAAGCAGGACAATGAGACCGGTATCTATTATGAGACATGGACTGTCCAAGCCAGCCCAGAAAAAGGGGCGGAGACCTGGTTTGAATCCTATGACTGTTCCAAATTTGTGTTGAGGACGTTTAACAAGTTGGCTGAACTTGGCACAGAGTTCAAGAAGATAGAAACCAACTACACAAGAATATTTCTATACAGCGGAGAACCTACTTACTTGGGAAATGAAACATCTATTTTTGGTCCAACAGGAAACAAAACTCTTGCTTTATCCATGAAGAAATTTTATTACCCTTTCAAACCACATTTGTCAACCAAAGAATTTCTATTAAGTCTTTTGCAAATTTTTGACACTGTGGTTATGCACAGGCAGTTCTACTTGTTTTATAATTTTGAATATTGGTTTTTACCTATGAAGTTCCCTTTTATTAAAATAACATATGAAGAAATCCCTTTACCTAGAAAAAACAGAACAATTTCAGGTTTATAAAACTTTGGCCAGTTTTCAATTCTATCTCCAACCACCAACATCTTGGTTTTCTAGGAAGTGATTGCACTTTTGTGGATTTTCCAGGCCTTTCTTCCATGAGTAGAGCAGGGTGACATGCCATCAGGAGCCTGCTGCTGCATCTTAGGACTTAGAACAAAAGGTGAAACTCTCATTCTCTTTATTGGCCAATGTTAGCAGCACAAGTGGTCTTGTTTCCATCTCTAAGCCCATGTTGATGTGGACAATCATGGCTCACATTAGATATATACGATCTTTGGAGCCCACATTTTAAAATTGTGGATATGGTAAAAACAACATTTGGGAGAAGGTGAGTTTCCCAGTGGGACCTACTTTTTTGGTGTTGTAGGTCAAGTGTTTCCTTGAAGCATATCTGGCAGTTTATAGACTGACTTTTATAGCTTTTGGAAACAACTCTAATTGTCCAATTTTCATTCATTTAACTTTAAAGACTTACCTGGATGCCATAGCTGGAGTGGTTTTACTTCCAAGACATGGTAAATACAGTATTAAAGGGAACAAATCTAGGGGTTTAATTTCTAACTAGCCGTTTGGCAATGTTAACCGACATTTTGTAATTTAAATAGTGTACTATCACATCTCTTGACTGCTGTAAAGTTTTAAAGTATGTTTGGTATTGTAATGTCTCAATAAATGTAAATATAGTTATTCATTAAAAAACCAATTGTCATCTTTAATCTTGACTAATATAATTAAGTGCCAGTCTCGCTTGAGTTTTATAATAATCTAGTCTTTGAACTGATAGCAGACTGCTTCATTGATCCCTCAGACTCTTCGGGTAGGAAAGTGATCTGGCTGCAGTTGTGTCTCAGTAAATAGGAACCTCACTGCTCTTCTAATTCCCTCCTCCTATTAAAGCTCTGGTAGCTAGTGGATAAGGAGTTCGGTACAAAGCCAAATGCAGGCAGTTTGAATCGACTAGCTACTCTGCAGAAAGATGGGCACTCTCCTTCCCTGTGACTTAAGTCTCTGAAAACATGCTGGAGAGTCCATTCTGACTTGAGAGCAATGAGGGTTTTTTTGTTTGAGGATTCAGTCTGCCAGATCAGTGGAACAATGTGAATTCCTCAGAGAAAGGCCTTCTCTTTGCCATTATAGCCATCAAACAGCATTCAATGTCCTTTATGTTTTTGATCAACTGAGCACTTTCCTTCTATTTATGGAAAAACTCCAGTTAGAAAGATGATGGAGCAGAGATCAGAGAAAACAGTATGTGTTTAATATATTTCTGTTCCAAATGCATTATTTCGTTTCAACTGTATTTGAGGACTGCTGTATAGAGATCATAAGCTTCACTGAATTCTCATCAAACAGATCTCACGGAGGACTGGAAAGTTTAAGTGGCTCTGCCAAGGATGCTCAGCACGGCTAGTAGTTCTAAAGTCATACTCAGCTTTCCTGGCTGAACTGGACAGCCTATTTTCACCTGCTACTAAAAAATGTAGCCATACACCATTGCCTAGTCACCAAATGTTACTGGTCTGTGAAGGACAAATAGATGTACGCTTTTGAAAATAATTTTCTGTCTGTTGAATCTTAATAATAAAAGGAACGCTTGATACTGTTTTTTTAAGAATTCATTTTTACTGTCTTTTTCAAAATATTAGGCACCCAACAGACTAAAAAGAAACACCTAGTCCTTTATCACAGGCCAAGCAGCTCTGCGCAGTACCCTGCAGAAGTCAAGCCTTTCTCAGATACAAGGGAGAACTTTCACTGTCTCCCATTTTAGCCTGTCCAGCCATGTTCAGAATGCTTGTTGTTGTTGTGTGCTGTCAAGTTCCCTGCAACTAGTCTGACTCCAATACACCTACCCCCATTGCCCTAGTTGCTGTGGCAATCCATCTCATCTGGGGTCTTCTTCTCTTGCCTTGTCCCTCCACACTTCTGAGTATGATGTCCTTCACCAAGGATCAGTCCCTCCTGGCCACGTGCCTGAAGTATGTGAAATGGAGCTTCAAAATCCTAGCCTCCAAGGAGAAACTTGGTTTCACCCTCCGAGACAGACCTATTTGTTTTCTTGGCAGCCTATGGTATGTTCAAGACTTTTCTCCAGCACCACAGCTCAAAGGCATCAATTCTATAATCTAACTCTCTGATGCATAGCAAGTAATTGCGAAGACCATGGACTGGATCAGGTACACCCTGGTCTCTAGACCAACATCATTGCTTCTCAGTAGCAAGGTCCCTGACAGCATATTTACCAAATGTAATTTGCCTTCTGATTTTCTGACTGCTGGTGCCAAGTGTTGATTATGGAGCTGAACAAGCTGTTAACTGTTAACCTCAATCTCTTCTCCATCCATCATGGTGCTGCCAATTGGCCCAGTGGTGAGAATCCTTGTCTTCTTGAGGCCGAGCTTCAATCCATGTTGAAGACCACAGTCCTTGACCTTGTGCAGTAAGCACTTCAGGTCCTCCTCAGTTTCTACAAGCAAGATTGTGTCATTTGCATAACATAGGTTGTTGATGAGTCATCCTTCAATCCTGATGCCATATTCCTCCTCATACAGCCCAGCCTCCTGGATATCTGTTCTGCATATACGTTGAATAGGTATGGAGACAGAACATTCCTGACACGTGCCCTTGCGGATTTTGAACCACGCAGTATTTCCCTGCTCTGTTCTGATGACTGCTTTCTATTCCAAGTATAGGTTTGGCATAAACACAATCAAGTGTTCTGGGATTCCCATTCTCCTCAAGGTTAACTACAATTTGTTGTGATCAACACAGTCAAATGCCTCTGCATAGTCAATGAAACACAGATATCTCTCTGGTACTCTTTGCTTTCTGCCAAGCACCATCTGTCATTGGCAATTATGTCCCTAGTGCTTTGGCCTCTTCTAAACCCAGCTTATATTTCTGGTAGTTCTGTGTCAATGTACTGTTCCAGTTGTTTCTGGTTAATCTTAGTAGAATTTTGCTTGTGTGTGATATGAGTGATATTGTTCGATAATGTCCACACTATGTTGGTCGTCCTTTTTTGGAATGGAAATAAATATGAATTTCTAATTCATTTTGCCTCTAACCTGCTAGCCTTCCTCACTCTGTTGCTGTGTGCTATCTGGTCCAAGCTTTCCCAAGCAGTAAATAGTATGGGAGGAGATGGCCCACCTTGAACCATATATCTTTCTTTGTTGATTACAGGACAGCTTCTTACCACTTGGCCTCCAAAACTCTTCACACTAAGTCACAAGAAAACTAAGGTCTTTGCTTTACCAACATCTAGTGACTAAAGAAGGGCAAGGCCAACTTCTACAGGACTCCTGGGAAAATTAAACCGGGTAAATAGTATATTGGATTTCCAGAACTGCACTAGGGTGACATGAAAACGCTCTTCTGAGCTGGTTAACTGCAAAAACTACAGAATTTAGTTCCACAACAAGGATTAATATGAAGACATCTGCATGTGGACATTCAATTTTAAAGCAAGATTCCAAGTTATATTAAAGAAGTGTTCAAAAATGTTTCATCATTCCTAATACTAATAAATTCTGTCAAAGTACCAAAGGCTCAAGTGCTTATAGCTAAGAAAGTACAGCTGTCAGAGAAAGCACAGCTTATCATTTTGCACAGTGGATTGAATCTTGGGCTTAAAAGAAAAGGTTGGTAGTTTGAATCCACCAACCTCTCTCCATGGGAGAAAGACATGGTGGTTTGCTTCTGTAAAGGTTCAGTCTTGCAAGGTCGCCATGGGTTGGAAATCAGCTCAGGACTAGGGGGCTTAGTTTTGGTAATGGTACTTTTAAGAGGAAATAGGACTTTCAAGAAGAAATTACTGAAGAGCATGGTAGTTTAAAACCTAAAATATGGCCAGGCAGTTTCATTGCTTTCCATTGATTTTGTTTACTTAGGAGGCCCAGGGCTTGCGTGTCACAGTCCACAGGCAGTTGTACTGCTAATCCCAAGGCCACGTTTCTTACCAGTTCAAACCCACCAGCTGCTCAGAGGAGGAAAGATGGGCAATCTCTTCCGGTGCAGTTTACAGCCTCTTAAACACCCAACAGAGGGTCAACTAGGAGTCCTGGCCAACTCAACAGCAGTGAGTTGTTGGGGTTGTCACAGGTTTAGGCAGTGTTTTGTTTTACTGTGCAGTATACCTAGGATGCAACAGCACTTCACAGTCTACATTAGAAGTGTCTTAAGTATTATTGCCTGTGACTTGCTAGTTTCTAATTAAGTTTGCTGCCTTTTAAACTACTGAATGATTTAAAAGACTATTTTGCTGTTATCAAGGTATACAATTTTTTAAGCTGTTTCTAAGAGAAATAATTTTAAATCTGAAGTAGAGAAAAAAATGAGTATTTAATTTTGGGAAGTAATTAATACTGGCTGTTTTGGTTTTTTTTTTTATAAAAATCAGGGAAAGACATTAATAAAGTTTTAGGACAGTCTATCCAGTTTTTTCTACTCTGGTGCCAGTCAAGAATTCTCTGTATGACTATATAGTTCCTTTAAGCAGCCATGGTAGTGTTGTAACTTGTCAGATTGTTCAGTTAAAAGGTCAGCATTTAATATCTACCTACTGATCTGTTTAGAAAGATGAGCAGTCACTTCCGGCAAGAATGTACAGCTTCAGAAACGGATGGAGGTTACTACTATGAGTGAATCGGCTTCAGCACTGTGGGTTGGTAGTTTTTAGGGAAGCCCTGGTAGCACATGGTCAAAGTGCTCAGCTACAAACCAAAAACTTGATGGCCCAAATCTACCAGCTCTTTGAGAGGAGAGAGAACATGGTGTTCTGCTTCCGGAATATTTATTGCCTTGGAAGCCACACAGAGCACTTCTACTCTGTCCTACTGGGTGACTATTAACTGGAACTGACTCACCTGTGGGATAATTAAGATGACTCAATCCCCCCCCCCCAAAAAAAAACTTTTTGGCTTATTATACAAATAGCAATTTACCAACATGGAACACATGCCGATTTGGTAAACTGCTGTTTCTAGTTCAGCCAAAGT